ATTGTAACAGCGGGGTGATTTTGACTTTTAAGGACAGCCACATCTTCCTTCATCACATATGTGTAAGCTGAATGATAGCCTGCATGGTCAGAAAAATTCACAACAATACCATGTTGCTGTTGGATATGCTGCTTAATTCTGATCCACCTTTGCGCTTTGTCCAGAAGCACTACCATATGGAAATGGTAGCTCCCGTTTTTGTGCTGCTCCATGCAACAGGCCCATTGTATAACTGACGATGTTGAAGCTGATTGAAAGGATTCAACTATCGCCGAAGAGAACTTTTCTCTGTCAAATACTTTCGTATCAGCATTGCTGTATGTACTTAAATATGCCTTTTTTACGCTGTTAACAGAGAGTTCTGAGGAGCTCTCCTTTTCCTGGCAACTTGACATCTTGTTATTTGAATTTTGAACGAAATTTTCGAACTTCTTCCAAAAGGAATATACTTAACAATTTGAATTTGGAAACTTTACCCGCCCCATTTCTGGCCTCCATCTCATGGAGGTGAGAAAGATTTGCCTCCATATCACGTTGCACTGTTAAAAACTGGCATTTTTTCCCTTTGAATTCAAAGAAACTGATGAAGTTATGAGACAAAAATGATATATCCTTATAAATTCCAATTATGAATAAAGATTGAGTTATATTTCTCATCACTAACAAACATTTAATACCTGCAGCAATAATTTCCAAAATGGTAAATAATAGCATACACCTTTATTATGGAAACATTGTCCTCTTTCATATCTTGTTCCTGCCTTTCCTATTTAATGACATCCAATGTTGTTGATATGTAGAAAATATCTTAGGTCTGTGTAGAGTGAAGGTTTTTAGGGCAATTCTCAACATACTTGGCACTCTCCTTCATAATAATGGCGTTGAGTGGTTTATTATTAATATAATAGTTACCAGAAAATGCAAACAAACATTGTAGCGCTTCAATTAATGAAGATATGGCCTTGAAACTTCTGAAAATGAAATCAGCGCCCTGGAAAACCTAGGGCAAGAAACTATTTCCAAATTTATATCTGCCCTCTTTAAAAATAAAATTCAGACAATGCCTGCCAAAAGTGCTTGGAACACCCTGAGGTTTCTGTGAATTCGCGTGTTCCTTTCTATTTCCATGTCAACAAGGAGGGTGTTGCCCCCCTTCCCCCGCATACAATGTTGATTCGCTAGCTGAAAACCATAGCTATGTAAAAATGTATCACTTATACATGTAGGATTATTCATATTTCCGTGGCACAACATTGTACAAGGGGGGAGGGGATGTTGCAGCTCGTGCACAACGTAAATTGTAGCAAGTGTTCCAAGACTTTTGGCAGGCATTGTAGGTAATACAATGTCCCAATCTTGCTAGTATAGTTATCGGTTGTTTTTGACCAGTCAGACTATGAAGGCCAAGTCCTACTGATGCATGTTTCAGTGTAAGAAATTTTCCCTTCGAAACTGCATGAACGACATCCTGACAAAATGAGTCAGTCAGTCTCTTATTTCTTTTATTCTTGACCTCAAGGAATGAACAAATTTGTAAAAGATGTACTACTGCAAGGAAATATAATAAGCGAGTTATCTGTAGACTGAAAGAGAACTCTGATTTGCCAAGCAGTTTTAGGAAATGGTATGTTTTTTCATGTAATCTTAATAATATATAACAATGAAAATTATTCTTCTATGGAGTTTCAGTAGAAAATTAAACTTTATGTACTTCAATGGGATGAGGCATATATGTAAGCATATCAAGAAAGTAAACAATTTTATATGTTAAACAAAGATTTGCATGTCTTTCTTAAGGCCCTAAATTCCATGCATTGTAGTATACACAATGATAATTGGTAGAGGAGTTGTAGCAGTTACACAATTATATTTAAACACACAAAAGACAAAGAGTATTTAAATTAGATTGTTCTTTCTTCAGACATGCTGCAGAAGAAAACATGTTCATCCTCTGATCAGCGTTCTTGGTGGCCTGAAAGCTTAGTGTTTAAATCCCCCAACAAAAGAAAACACTTTTCAGTAGAAGAACTAGATAAAATTGTAGACTGCTGCAAAAGTTTTTGAAATCAGAGCAGGAAGATGGTATAGATGAAAGTGAAGTTGGGGCAGAGGAGATGCAGAGAGAGTTGAACAAAAGCTCAAAAGACTATGAAGGTCGCATGAATAAAGGTAACACCAGTGAGGTGTTCAATGAAGTACAGAACAATAAAGGAGAACAGAACAGGCTCTAATGTTTCTGCACATATGCGCAAGATTAAGGATGACTTTCAGGTAAGTTTACATTTTTACCTTCAGTACCTTCAGTATTTTTATGAAGCCCTCTTAGGTTCCTGATCTTGTAATTGATTAAATTATGCTAAAAGCTATTCTGTTTTCAATTCTTTTACTTGAGTATAGAATATTACATAAGATCTGGCCACTGCAGAATCTTTCTTAAAGGCAGTGTCACACCTCAAAAGTTTTGAAGAGATGCTTTGAACATTTGCCCTGACAATATTCTTGAGATACAAGAGAATAGTGTCAGATCATCTAACATTGAAGAATGGCGAGTAAAGATTAAACTTTGATGTTCAATTGAAATTTTCTATTTTCTTTTTGAATGATTTTAAATTGAAAAAAAAATTTTTCATTCTTCATTATGATAAAATTTTAATGAAGATTCCTTGTTGCGATGAATTCAAATTGAAAGCATTGGCATGATTCAATTGAAACAATATACTCGAATCCTTGTTTAAATTCATTCAACTGGATAACTTTCTTGTTTAGATTAATCTGAATGAAACAATTTAATTGATTTCTTGTTTAAATGCATTCTACTATTTAATTTGGTTGATCTATACAAATAAATCACTGCATGTTTATTTTTCAAACAGGTCATTCGTCATTTGATTCCCTTGGAGGTTGCTACCACAGGTGTATACGTGTTGCTGGTGATGGCAATTGCCTTCATCGTTCTGTATACTGTTCATTGTATGGCACTTAATTGAGGTAATTGCTATCAAATGCATGTTTACATTTTTTTGTTCAGATGATGAAAAGAGAACTTTTCAAATAAGAAAGAAGTCAGGAGTTAAAAAAAGGGAACATAGAAAAGAAAGATATTTAGGTTCATTGTTTGTAAATTGTTATTTTTTTGCTATCTAGCATCTGAAATTAGTTTTAAGAATTGAGAAAAGCTGAATCCATGAAGACTTTCCTGTTCTTCAGTTTGACAAAGTTAATGAAAGTAGAGCAAATTTGGCTTACGTGATCACAACTGATGATGTTCCAATTTTTTTTACTCCAGATTGGTTGTATAGGCTTAAGGAGTTAACGATTGAAGATTTGAAGATTTGCACCTATGTGTGAAAACATACCTGATGATAGAGAGCACCTTTGTGTCACCATTAAACATGTGTTGGTTAAAACAAGAAGGGACAAATATTTCACATTTGATTGACATTCTTTATTCGTATTTGTTTGTCATATTTAAATAATGTAATAAAAAAATAACTTTTCGGCAAATTAATTTTAATCTTGTCTTATAATCTGGGGAACAATTGGTCTTTTTTGATTAGTAATTGTTATTGCAGCAATTCTTCAGGTTTCTTGATGTTTTCTTGGGTGACCAATGTTGTGAAAAATTTGGCTTCATCATAGCTATTGTCTGGAAGATTTGGAAGTGGATGCAACTGGGTAGGAGTGCTTTTGCTATTTGAAAGCCTAAACACTGTCCAGGTAAGCATTCTTTGAATTATCATTAAACCTCTATGCTAGAATTGGTTGATGTAAATATATGTCATTCAATAAATTAAGGCTAACTGAATATAGTTTTGACCTCACATGTTTCACTCATTTTCTCGTGCTTTTTTATGTTAAAATCAAACTCTAGGTTAACAATCAAAATTACGATCAATGAAATGAGTGTAGCTTTTTTGTATCTGAGGCAAATTTTTATTCCTGGCTCCCAAAGAAAGCAGTGCTACAATTTACATAATTTAAATATTTACAGAAACTTTGATAAGCAGTTAAATAAATGTGAGAATTATCCAGAATTTACCTCTTGAAATTTTAGCTTGTCCACTTTTTGGTCAAAGAGGGAATTGCCAATTTTTTGTAGAGGAATCAAAAAAGGAATCTTGGTAACTAACTAATGTTCATAAATAACAACTAACATAGTTTTTAGGCAAAATCTGTCCCATTCAAATTATATAAACTTAAAGCGGTCTACATAGATACAAAATAATAATGAATTGTGATGAATATTGAAAGACTGTCAATGCAGTACGTTAATTGGAATGTTGATGCCAATGTACTTACAAATAAATGTCCCCCATAAAGATGTTAATTGATAGCTTCACAGTTTATTTGTCTTTTATCAAAACCCTTGTATCTTGAACAGTTAGTTGTCAGATTGAAAAAAATGTGCCTCTGCTCTTTTGTGAAATAATTAAGTGCCTTTTACAAGCAGGAACATCCATTCCTTTGGAAAATGTTTTTTAAAATAAATTAATTTTATCCTAGAAATATTTAGCAGATATTACAAAAGGGAGGATATTCTTTCCCAGAGATTTTGGGAACTCTTTGTGGCTTCCTGGCTTTGTGACTTTTTTCATACGACTACCTCTGACCATAACAGCACTCCTCTGGGAAGATGTTTTAGGAGACTACGCTGTACGTGAAACTGCAAGCTTTCAAAGTATGCCAACCTATCTTTTTCGGACAGGACTACCCTGAACACAAATATTCTGATTTTGGAGGTGAGAAAGACTTGTATTGTCCAACTCAAATTTTATATTATTTTTGCGCTAATAATGGCTTTGAATGTTCTGCGAATGGTTTCCATTAACAATTTGAATTCCAGCTGATTATTGATTCCAAAAAGCTGCCTCGCTGATGCTTTGATTGCCAATTTTTATCCTTTTCAGTGTTTCACATACCTGGAAATTTCAGTACCTAATTTGGGCAAATAATGCCACCCTGCCTTAACAAAGTATTGAATAAATATTTCCATCTATTGAATAAATATTTCCATCTTGTTGTTTATTTTTAGTTCATCGCTTATTGCATCCACAAAGAGGAAAATATACCCCTCTTTCGAAGTCGGGTGATGACTGGAAAACCTTAAAGATTTTAGTTTTGATCTCATTCATTTAAACAAATGCAATGAAGCGTTGAAAAGAGCATCAAAGTTGAGTTTAAGATTGCATCAAAAGTTGAGTTACAGATCACCATCATAAAGTGTCATCAAAAATTTACCGTATACTTTCATGAAATGCAAGTTGTTATGAAAATGCATGTTATATGTCAAATGTAAAATGAATGTAAAATGTAAAATGGAGCTACAAAATTTTGTATAATATGTTTTCATTGCTAATAAACAGGGGTTTCTTGTTATAACTAGAAAACGCACCTAAATTTCAAATTTCTTTTTATACCCTTTCAGAATTTTTCATTTTTAAGTATCCTCTTGGAAATAAGCAGGTAAATCCGGTCTTCTTTTGATTAACTACCAACTAACTCTATCGATTTAATCTTAAAAACTAAGATATTAAAAAGGTGGCTTTATACGAAAAAAATGTATTTTAGACAATTTTTTATTCTATAGCTTCTAGAACATTTGATGATTGGAGAATGCACTACCAACACTGATATGTTGCTTCACAGCCTCTAGAGGTGTGAATTTTACCTATTTCTAGGTGGTGGTTGTGATTCTGTCCCTTAGAAACCGCACAGCAACGGCTAAGGGGCAACTTGAAAATGGGAAACAAACGAAACAGATCACGCCAAAAAAACAAAAAGGAAGAGTAATTAATGTTTGAAACAAGCAAAAATCTTTATCGATTAATGCAAGAGAGGAGACTCATGAAAGCAATGAAGAAAACAGTCCTGATTCTCCACCCTTAAAGAAAAATAGGCCTGCTCAGCAAGAAGCTGGAGAGATGGAGAAAACTGTTCGTAGTTTGTATAGTAAAAAGTTGCAGCATAGCTTGGAATGTCAGGCAGAAAAAGATGATGATTATAACTAAATCATAAAGTTTTAAGTTTTAAAGGACCTGATTACAATGATAGGTTGCTGTCCACCATGTAAGAGTTCTAACATTGACATGGAAAATGTTTTTAACCTACGAATGGGTTTTCAGTCCACCTTGCAGGTACATTGCTCTCAATGTACTTACAAATATGCATTTTCCCCTTCAAAACAGTTCTATCAAGCTGGCAGAGGCTCTTAAGGACGTCAGATGTCTGAAATTAATGTCCGAACATTTGTTGCATTTCTTGAAATTGGATGTGGCCACAAAGCCATTCAAAATTTCAGCAGGATTATGAACATGCAGTCATTTTCAGTTGGGGCTTTTGTCAGAATAAATGATTCATTGTATGAGACCTATGAAACAGCAGCACAAGAGAGCAAGAAAAAAGCAGGTGAAGAAGTGTTTTCAAAATGTAAAGAAAAGATCAATGATGGAAGAATAGAACTAACACTGTGCTCATTGGTCGGTACCTGGCAAAAGATAGGACACAATTCTGTGGGTGTTGTTGCTGAAGGAAAATGCATTGACTTCAAAGTTCTATCAAAGTATTGCAAGGGCTGTGCACTATGGAAACAGAGGAAACAAAGAAGAAAACAAAACCATTTCTTTCAGGAAGAGAAAGGCTGACTCCATGCAAAATTTCTATGGAATGGCTATTCGTGAGCACAGGGGAGAGCTTTACCACATGAAGAAAGCTGTATGAGCTATACTATGGCATTGTACAGACTTTGCTGATGAAGAATACCGCCATAGATTCTGCCCTACTGGAGATAAGAGCTGGTGCAAATGGGGGAAACATCAATCAGCCAAGGATGCAAAGAAACAGAAAGCAAAAATCAATTTACCAAAGTGGATTCACGACATTATTAAACCAATTTTTGAGGATCTAAGCAGAGATGAGCTGTTGTCAAAGTGTCTCAACGGGCAGACTCAGAATGCAATTGAGTCTTTGAACAATATGATTTGGCTTAAATGTCCAAAGAGAGTTTTTGTTAAGAGCTCTTGAGATAGGTGGCAATGCTGCAGTATTAGATTTTAATAAAGGAGCATATGGTATCAGTGAGGTACTAAAGCAGTATTGCATTGGCATTAGGGTATTTATGCTGGATTGCTCTGATAAGAACAACAAGGCGAGAGTTCAATCAATGGAAAGAAAGGCGATGAAAGAACAAGGGAGAGGAGGAAACATTTTTTAGCTAAAGAGAAGATAAATTCCTACTTTGCCCAGAGAAGTCGCTACAATTGATAAGAGGTTTGTAAATCACCGTCCATCTGTTGGTACCTTATTGATAAAGCTGTTCAACAACCTTTGTAGCATTATGGAAAGAAATGATCTACTTAACTTAGAGCAACAAAGTAATATTTAATGTGCTAACTTTGAAAAAAAAATATTAACCAACCACACTGTTCTTTGTCACATGATAAGTATAGCTGAACTCTAAAATTAAGTCTTTTGTTTAAAGAATTTTCAATGCCAGAAAATGGTCACCACAAAATAATTGCAAATGCGCGGAAAACAGAGTCTGGGGCCCTTTGCAACGAAAATTACCAGTGGTTACTACGTTTAACCTTGTATTCTCTTATTCTTCTCTCATTTGAAATCAAATTTGACTTTTATCATAAAAGCACACAGTTGATAACCATCTTTTGGAAGAACCTGTTTACAAAAGGCCTTTGCAAACATTGCTTGTTTCCAATGTACGCAAAGTAAATCTGACTAAACTAAGTACCCTCTTCCTGTTTAGATGTGCAAATAGTATGGATTACCCTAAAGGGTATGATTCCTGTTTTGGCAACAGGTATTGGAGACTGCCTTTTTAATTCTGTGGGAAAGTTGCTGTTTGGCACAGAGGCAGTTACACCAATTTTGAGGCTTTTGTTCATAACTGGTACCATTGGTCACATAGATCATTTTATAGAAGAGGTACAGTTTTTGCTGCTTAGATTGGAAATCTGTTTTGTATGTTGTTTTTCGTGTAGAAGTTTTGCAATGAAATGTTGCACTATCTTTTGGCATCTTTGCGATTAAATATGCAAGATTAAATAAATAGAATCTGGGAGTCTGATTCTTAAGCGTATTTCAATATATGTATTCGCCTTTGCTTTCTTCGCATTTCATTGTTGATACTTGTTTGCCAGGTTTTGTCCTTCTGTTGTTTGGCAGGTTTTATTATACCAAAATATTTGGAAACTCGCTGATTTCATGGCCTATGTTTTTTTATATTTAGTACAGGTCTCATTACATCACAAAAGATTATGCTGACGAGATGCTGTATGTAATGTCAACGCAGGAAGTTTTTGAAAAAAGACCTGTCATTGAAAGTACCAGTGTGACTGACATAATCAGGTTTGCTGTCATTAGCGAGATTACAGAGCTATCTAAAAAGGATGCCTATGCAGGTAAAAAGATAACCATTATTAATTTATATGATTTTGCTTTGGTAGCACAATTAGAGAACCATTGGTCCCTGCTATTTTTGTAGATTTAACCCTTCAAAAATTGTTATCAATTGAGAAATCAACATTAAATCTCCTACAGTTTATGCATGGCGTCTACAGTTTTTCTCCTACAGTCAATTGAGAAATCAACATTGAATCTTCTCCTTGTGCTCCATAACAGACCTTTAATGGAATAATGTTTGACTCTTCTTCAAAAAACCATTCTAGTCTTTGCGTCTATGCCAGTGTTTATCATTTAGGTCTTCTTCAAGAACAATACCTTGCAACAGCATTGTTTCGCGGGGTAAATCTTTATTGCAACCATCCATTTTATCACGGATTGATGGCTCCGGTGTCTTTGTGCGTGTCAAGACCTACTCAACCCAGTCAATCTTATGTTCATGTCAACAGCAAGCTCACTCTTCCCAAATCACTATGTTCTGTTGATTCAGAAATCAGGTAAAGATTAGTAGTTTATGTCGGGCTTTACTTTACATTTAAAGAATAAAATATAAGCAAGAGGTACAATTAAAGTATAGGGTATAATATTCCAGGAAATAGTTAGAAACATTTCATTTTATTCTCCCAGGGATTTAAAATTTGTTTGCGTGACATTTAATTGTAGATAACGGTGTGACATATATATGTTTATCAAAAATTATAGGGAAGAGAAAGATGGCATTTGAGGTTCCAGCTGCAAGCCAAGAGAACATGTGTGCAGCATTGAAAAGACTTGGCTGCATTGCTGTCCTTAAAGAGCGCCAAGAATGGGTGAGCTGCAGAAATTGTGGGCTCAGATATCATTCAGCTTGCAGCCGTCTTGGGAGGAAAGAGGAGAATTTGTTTGTTGCGTGGGCCTGCTGGTAAAAGAGCAGATAGAGAGGGACATTAACACAATACGACACCATTTTCCTGATATAGCTAGGCAGGTTCCCTCTTCGCTCTTTCCTATACCTCTAAGTTTAGCAATTAACATTTCATTACTGAAGTTGAATTTTAGCAACATATTTACTTTTTCAAGTAGACTTTTGATAATGCACTTTGCAATTTCTACGACCCATATTTCCTTACAATATTGACAATGAAAAATTGTCGAGCTTGTGTAAGCTGCTTTAACAAACGAGCTTGTGTAAGCTGGTTAAAATTGGGAACCTTGTTTACAATCATTTGCTTTCTACTGTTTTTTTGCTTTGACTACTGAGGCATCTGTCAAAATACTGCACACCAACAGTGCTTTGCAGCAGCCCGAAACCGTCTTTCCGAGAGACAATATTCTAGAGTATGATCTTGTCATCTTTCCTTGTGTTATAAGGTACAATTTTGCGTACATTTTTTTGTTTCAGTATGTGTTTAGAAAGTCTATAGAAAGTATAATATTGGGAACACACATCTTGTATTAAACACCATTTATATTTATTCTAATGTTAAGAATCAAGAGCTTTTTTTCCAAATTGGACAAGGAACGGAGCTCTAAAATGCCCTTTCGAAGGGTTAGATCAAAGGTGACGCCTCTATATAGTTTCAAATTTTCCATAATTACCGTCGACTCTATGTTATTTCAACTGTCTGTATAGGGGAAATGCAACACAAAAATAGGCTAAGCTGTTAGCCTTTCAGAGTTTGACAAGAGGCAGGCCAAGACTTGCAAGATTTCATCTCATATTCCTATTACAATAATGCTTTTGTCTATATCCCAAGCTTATTTCTTAAAATTAGTAGAGTATTCGAATAAGAAGGACTATTTACCTCAGGGAACCGAGACAAAGTTGGTAAAATAACAACAAGTTCGAATAATATAGGTTTGAAAAATAGAGGTTATTTGATAGATTTTGAGGGGACGTGACAATTTGACTATTAGTTAGAATTAGCAAAAGAACGAACTACTCTAGTGCGGAGTAAATAGAGTCGACTGTACAGGAATCATCAAACCTGCAAATAGTATTCCTATGAATTTAAGTTACAAACAAATATGTAAAATTAATATCAGCTTACGAAGTCATTTATATTTTGCAATCCATATTCTATTAGGTACCTTTGCAACAGCAGCCGTATGACTGTGGCATTTATATGATATATTACATAGAAAAGTTAATGAAAGAAGTGAGTATTCTCTTACTGCACCAATAAATTATGTTGAAAATCAGCAAAATTTATGCTACATTGGAAGGCAGCAACTATGTAGAAGGGTGTTGGAAAGCTTCAAGTAAACCTGTAGCCTAATAAATATCAAAAAGAGCTCATTGCAAAGAATACTGAGGAATTGTACAGTTATGATACTATTGAGTAAATAATTTCGCACTTTGATCAAATATGATTCGAACATTAAGAATAAACTTTTCTGTAATGCTATCATCTCTTTTCTAACAGGAATACAAGATGGAAGTCTATTTGGAAATCGATAATTTCTTTAATATAGGTGAACAAGGAAGGAAACAAATATTGAGAGACATTTGCAATAACACAAAACATTCTAACACGTAAACAGAAATTTCATCAAAAATTATCTGTTTTCATCGTTTTGTACAAAATGTATATTCTTTTCCTTTTGTCACTATTGCACTACATAGGCAAAAAGCCATTTGTTTTTTGCTTTCTGTGAGAGGTTACGAAAAATGTGGGTGTCCACAGGAAAGATAAATTTTACAAAAATCGAGATTCATTTCGAAATCACTATTGCACTACAGAGGCAAAAAGCCATTTGTTTTTTGCTTTCTGTGAGAGGGTACGAAAAATGTGGGTGTCCACAGGAAAGATAAATTTTACTAAAAATCGAGATTCAGTTCGAAGTTTTTGCTTCCTGTGGATGTGGGTGTCCACAGGAAAGATAAATTTTACAAAAATCGAGATTCAGTTCTAAATTGTGAAAAACTTGGCTGTAGACATTTCTCTACCTTTGAGAAAAAGGGGACCCGTGCCACTATTGCACTACAGAGGCAAAAAGCCATTTGTTTTTTGCTTTCTGTGAGAGGGTACGAAAAATGTGGGTGTCCACAGGAAAGATAAATTTTACTAAAAATCGAGATTCAGTTCGAAGTTTTTGCTTCCTGTGGAAGGATACAAAAAATGTCGGTGTCCACAGGAAAGATAAATTTTACAAAAATCGAGATTCAGTTCAAAATTGTGAAAAACTTGTTTGTAGACATTTCTCTACCTTTGAGAAAAAGGGGACCCGTGCCACTATTGCACTACAGAACCCAAAAGCCATTTGTTTTTTGCTTCCTGTGGAAGGGTACAAAAATGTGGGTGTCCAAATTTCAAATTTCACACTCCATTCTGTCATATCTATCTACATGAATCAATCATATTTTGATAAGATCCATACAAAGCCCCCTAAAATGCTTGTCTACTGTGTTGTAGAGAGTAACCACCAATATGATTTAACAAATGGATCAAAAAAAGGAATTCCCAAACTCAAACTCAAAATATTTTTTTCAACATAAAATTGATTAATTACAATATACCGGTTAACATAATTATACTAAATATACAATATCCAAGTTAATTTGGCTAAATAACAATGAATGGTCAACCACAATATTTTATAGAACAGCAATGAGAATTAAACAATTTTAGGCTGATGGACACATGGAAAGAACTTTGGGCAAGCTATCGAGCCATGTATCCAAATTGATGTGTTTAAAATGACGTTTTTAAGTTTGAATAATAACAGTAAGATATAACAAGAATAAAATAAAGTAGAACGAAATAAAAATAAGACTATGTGTAATATTGTAATAACAGCTAAGTGCAATTATAAAATAATCATAAAGTAATCAAGCCTACAGATGTAAAATTTTGTTTATAAGAAAATATTTCATCTGTTTCACAAAGTGGTGTTTATTATCCATCTTTTTTAACTCTATAGGTAGGGAGTTCCAAAATTTAATACCATCAAAAGTGAGAAAGTTTTTTTTTAAAGTTTTGTAGAAATGGATGGAAGAGAAAAACCTTCAGAAGAAGATTGCCGTGTATTATAATTGTGTACATTTTTGTTTTTACAAACTCGCCTTCAAGAGAAGTTTTGTCAGAGCTAATTTGATATATCATTTTTGCTGTCTCAAGCAGGTAAAGTTTATCAAAGTTAAATATTTTAAGTCGTTTAAATATAGGTTCACTATGTGCAGTGTAGTTTGCAAAGTCGATTACTCTAACTGCTTTTCGTAAGTTACGTTTTAAAGGTTCCAGGGTAGTTTTATTAGCACAACCCCAATTTAATATACCATATAGTACATGTGATTGAATGAATGAGGAGTATAGTCTTAAGAGGTTGTTTTGGTACCAGATGTCTTAATTTATATAGCACTCCGATTCCTTTTGATAATTTTAAATTTATTTGCTTTATATGCAATTTCCAGGTAAGCTTATTATCAACTATTACTCCAAGATATTTAGTGTAATTTTCTTGTTTGAGATCTCTGTTATTAATTTTAATTTTATGTTTCTATCAGTTTTACGAGAGCTTATCAGCAAGAAGTTCGATTTAGATACATTTAGCGATAGCTTACTAGCCAATAACCACACAGATACCCTTTGTAACTCCGAATTGGTGGTTTGTTCTAGGATATCAAGATTTTTGTTAGCCAATAAAATACTGGTGTCATCTGCAAATAGTCGAAACTGAAGAATTTGAGAAGATTTATAGATGTCATTTATATAAATCAAGAACAATAGTGGCCCAAGTACACTACCTTGTGGGACACCACAATTGATAGTAAGCTCATTTGCATTAACGCCATTAATTGCAACTTTTTGGGTTCTTTTAGTTAAGTATGATTTAAACCACAAGTATGTAATACCTCTGAAACCATAATGTTCTAATTTTTCTAGCAAAATATCATGGTTAACTGTATCGAAAGCCTTTGAAAAATCTAGAAATATGCTGCAAGAAAACATTTTATTTTCAATATTATTGATTAGTTCTGATTGAAGGTCTAAAATTGCTAAAGATGTAGATTTGTTTTCCTGAAATCCATATTGCTGTTCAAAAATTATTTTTTTTATTCAGAAATTTAACCATACTTTTATTAACTTTTCAAGTATTTTGCTGAAGTTAGGTAAAATTGAGATAGGTCGATAGTTTCCTTATTCTAACTTGGATTTACCTTTATGAATAGGCGTAACTTTTGCAAATTTTAATTTTTCTGGAAAGGCACCAAGAGAAAAGGATGAATTGGCGCTAAGTGCAAAAGGCCCTGAAATAGTCAGTCATACGGACCAATTTTATAAGTTTAGAGGGAGTATCATACAAATCATTTGATTTGTTTTCATCTAGATTGGCAATGATGTCATTTACTTCTTCAGGTTGACGCATGTTGCATGTTGACATGGTTTTGTAAAGACTCTGTTGCAGATGCGTTACAGATTGACGTTTTTGTTTTAAGAAATTTTTTGTTATGTTTATTTTTAATCGAGATTGACTTCAAGATTCCTTTGGTTATCCCGGGTTTTAGTCTTTGTTTGTACATTTTTCGTGAAACCGGTTTTAATGGAGCATGTTTTTGCATATTATTAATTAGTATATAATGAAAAATGTTATATTGCTCGTCTGCACCTTGAATTAAGTTTAATTTTTCATCCAAGTTTGATTGGCGCAAGTCATGTATATAAGAATCTAGGTTAAAATTGCTATAGTCGCGATAAAAACCTCTGTTTTTACTTTTTGATTTAAGGTTGATACTTTTACAAAATATAAAGTTTGGTAAATGATCAGAGATTTTTGTTATTAAATTTCCACTTAGTTTTTCATGTTCTATTGAATTTAAAAAAATATTGTCAATGAATGATGGTTTATTACTATTGATAATTCTAGTGGGCTGGAGTATATGTGGCTGGAAAAAGTTTGAAAGCATGAGATTTATAAACTTTTCGGTATATTCATCTGAATCAATGTTTAAAAGATTAATATTGAAATCTCCAGTAATAAAGACTGTCTTCTTTTCCTTTCGAAGTTTACTAGAGATTATGTTTGTTAGATATTCTAGGAACTCAACATCATTTCTTTTCTTTGGGTGACGATAAATAATAGCAATCAAGAAGTTCTTATTGTTCTGAGATTTAATTTCGGTCCAGTTTGCTTCAAACTCACTACTATTATCTGAGTGAGAAATATTTAAGTCCTCTCGAGGATGAAAAGATAGTTCTTCAGATACAAAAAAGCAGCAGCCCCCTTTCATGCTTTTACCAGATGTTCCTGTGTATTTTTGATACCCTTGTAAGGTTAAATTTTCAGTATTTGATTCATTGTTATTGGTTATCCATGTTTCAGATAGTGCAATAATGTCAAATTTATGTTCTAATGAAGTAGTTAATAACTCTAAGTTTTTATTCAAAGAGCAAATATTTGTGTGCATCAGACTAAAAAAGGGTGAGTGTTCAGAATTTAGTTTCCTAGTTAACTTATGAAATTCATGCGTTGTATAAAATTTGAAATTAGCATTTAGGTTTAAGTTTTTATCAATATCGTTATCTGATTAAGATCAAGTTTATCTAGATTCAATTCTGTAATAGTTACTAAACATTCGTAGTCTGTCAGGTCTTTTGTTACGTCATTACAAAGACATAGCTCATTAGAATTGAAGTTACTGGAAAGAATATCCTGAGCGTGAACAGAATTGAAAGGAAAAACATGGTAGCGACAGCTAGGGCAAAGCCATTGTTGTGCGTCAGCACCTAGATTTAAAATATCTTGTTCTGTTAAACCAGAGCATTTCCTGATGTGAATATAGCTTTTTCAATATTATTAACACGTTTATCGCAAACAGAGCAGGATTTGTTAAAGTAAATAATCGAATGGTGTTGCTTCTTGTCTGCGGAAATTGCTCTTAAGAATGGAACATTTCTCATTTTTTGAAAATGTAACGCATCGGCAACACAGTCTTTACAAAACCATGTCATAGAGGTGTCATTTCCTAGTTCTTTAAATCTTTGAATTGATAATTTGCTACACCTAACGTGATACCAATTGCAACATCCGTCACAATATATTGGATTCTGACTCTCCAGAGCCAATAATTTGCAGTTCGGGCATGAATATGAATAACTACTCATTTAGATTGTGGGGGTTAATTATGAAAATCTGTTTGCCCTGCCTTGATACTGGTGATAAAATGCTAAAAATAATAAAAATATTAATGTTAATAATGATAAAAATATTAATGCTAATAATAAAAAAAATATTAATGTTAATAATGATAAAAATAATAATGGTAATAGTAAAGGGCCTAATCTGAAACAACAAGAAAGGCATGAAGTGTTAACATGGGTAAAGTTTATACGGCATCACCTGAGTTTCAAACAATCTTTTTTGTAATGTCCAATTCATTTCTGATAGTAACAAATGCTGAATCCTTATTTTTTCTGGCAAAGATAACCCCATACCTGGTCCACACGAAGTCCCATCCGATTTCCTTTTTCTTATCTCTTGCCAGTTTCAAAAGATACTTATTTTTTTGGTTAAAGATTCATTGATGAATACTCTAACGTTAGCAGCTTTCAACCCAAGATCTTTTCCTGAAATGTTTCTTGTCTCTTTTCTTTTTTGCATGAAAGCATCTCTCAATTTCCTATTTCCAAATTTGCAGATGATAGTAGTGTCGTTCTCTGGTCCGACACGGTGGCAGGCTTGAATTTCTGTAGCAGCGCATTTCACCCCAAGCTTTTCACCCAGCTTAATCACCAAAGACTCTGTTTTCTCGTTTTCTTCTATAGGAATTCCATTTATTTCGACACAGTCTCTACGGCCGTACTGTTCTAGATCGTTGACTTCGTTATGGACTCTATTTATTTCTGCTTGTAGCTTTCCACCTTGTTTTTTGAGCACTCCATTTTCGGCTTCCAATTTTATGTTTTTGTTGAGGATGGTATTGGTTATTTTCCTTTGGTTTTCATACTGGGTATTGATGAACTCTATTGACTTTTCAAAAACCATCAATCGCTTTTCCAATTTTTCAAAATCCTCTGTATGTTGCGATGTCTGTGATTGAACTCCTCTTAGTATCAGAAGGATTTCGTCTATTTTCTCGTTGGTAGTAGCAGATTCCATACTTGAAATATACGGTTTCGACGAGTTTCTCACATTTTTATGAGCGTTGAAAAACACGTCCGCATGCCAGCACGACATGCACAAAAAACCAACTTGTATATGTTTTGAAAACACCAAGGAATCATAAAAATATCTCACCACAGATCTTTCCATTTGCTAGCCTTTTACCATTGCTTTGGAATCAACCCTTTTTTTATTTAATATTCCTGCTGCTTATACAAAATATTGACCATCTTTACCTCTTTCGCAGAAAGCATATTCCTAGAAACCTTGATGAATTTCTATGTCTAGAGAAGACAGCCATGACAAGGCTATCAAAAAATGATGATCCAGGAGCAGATTGATGAAGAAGTTAAACTCGAGCTTCTAGCAAATGAAGAACAGGAGTTTACAGCAGCCTATTCAAAAAATTTTGCAAGGCAGTGTTAAACTTGAATCTCTGTACATATACGCAACGCACGTGCTTCGCTAGTCTTCACTACTCTCAACACTAACAACAACAACAACATAACATTAACTATAATTTTTTTTTTCTTTGCGGATAAAATAAAGTCAAAATGTCACAATTTTAAACTGAATAAATCCTTAAAATAGTTTTCTTCCCTGTTGAATGCACTTCAGTAAATCCAGACATGATGCACCCAGCTTTGTTAATGGATTAGCTAACATCTGTTCCCCTGGAATCCATTGAACACTATTTATGATTTTTCTTTCTAACAATTCTTTAACTGACCCAACATCTATACGCAAACGTTTGTCTTCAACTGATTTTGTGGAGTAGACAGCTTCTACAACTGATTTATTGTCAACAAAAGCATCAATAGGAATGTCATCAAATGAAGTAAGCTCTGAAATAACTTGTTGTAGATAAATTGCATGATCTAATGCATCAGCCAAACTGAGCATTTCTGCAGCAAGAGTAGATTTGACTACTCTTTTGATCTTTGCACATGACCATGCTATAGCAGCAGCTGCATTGTTCATTCCAAGTAGCAGAATGATGTGACCTCCCATACTAGATACACCATCACACATATTGGCAAGAGATGCATCAGAGAAGACAAGAATATGCCAATTCTTACAAGGTCCAAGATGTGGAATTCTGATGATTGAATTGTGCTGCCTAACTCTTAATAAAATTTTGTTGGCCCGCAAAAGATCTGACACTTGGCTGCTGTTGAATTTTGAACTCATTTCAACAACATCAAATGCAAGATCAGGTCTTGTTCCTTGTGCAACCCAGTTGCACTGTCCAACAATTCTACGGAACTGTTTCTGTTCCTCAGATGTTAAGGGGCTTTTCTTTTCCTTGGCTCTTCCTGGATCAATTTTAATACTTTGAACATTTTCAACATATGCCCCTTGACTGATAGTAATACCTTTATGGGTTTGCTTGATGTCAAAACCAATGTATGTAAAATTGTCCTTTGCACGTCGCCCAACTGTAAATCTCTCTGCAAGTGGTTTCAAAACTTTCTCTTCAAAAACTTCATTACCACAATGCAAAAAATCATCAATGTGCATAATCAGAGCACCAGTAACTTGTGTATTTGATGTCATGTAAAACAGTGATGAATCAACTTTGGATTGTTTCATCCCAAGATTGATTAACTCCTCTTTTACACTGTCAAAGAATTGTCTCGCAGCATCCGCTAGCCCATAAAGGGTCTTTTTAAGTTTCCACAGTGCCCCATTACTCTGCGCAGCTTCTGGAGGAGGTTTGATGAACACATCTCTTTGAATTTGCTTTCCTTGAAGAAAGGCAGATGTGATGTCACTAGATTTTACTGTCCAACCATTGCTAGTAGCAGTTGCTAGAAGTATTCACATGGTTGTTTTTGCAACTGTGGGAGAATTACTTTCAATATATTGGGTCTCTTCAAAACCTCTGGCAACTAAACGGGCTTTCATCCCACCATCTTTATGAGTTATGACCCACTTAGTGGATATGCAAGGCTGACCAACATCCTCAACTTCATCGTAAACATCAAAATCTTTTAATTTCCTTAGCTCAACATGTTTTGCTTGCAAAACATCACTTAAAGTAGATTTGGTATCAGAGACAGTCACTAAGTCAATTTCTTCATTTACCTTTTTCCAATCACTCAGTTGTTCAAAGTTAAGACTTTTCTTTTCGCCTGTGTCTTTGTCCTCTACATTGAACCAGTATTTAGTTGATGTACTTGCTTTGCCTGCTCTCCCTAAAACTGTCCCTGTAATCCATGGATCATTTTCATTTATCTTGTATTCGATCTGGTCATTTTTTCTTAATGAGATCTTTTGTTGGTATGCAAATTGTGGTTGCTCTTCCATATCATGTGCATGGTGCTGGGTATCAGGGTCTTGTTCCTGACCAACCCTTAATGCACCCAGGTTTTCACATAGCTGTGGCGTTGAGATTGTAGCACCAGAGCTATTATCTCTTTGCAAGGGAACTGACATATTTGGATTTGTGTCCCTTTGATCAACAACCACATCATCATTTTTCAAGTCTACATCCTTGATTAGTCTGTTTGTTGACACACGAACATATACACCAGCATGGCGTACAAAAACAACTTTTCCATCTTGATAAAGGACTTTTCCTGGACCAAGCCATTTATGACTTCCATCACGCTTGTAAAACACCCTGTCACCAGGATTAAATACATCATCAGTGGCTCTGATAGGATGTCTAAGTGCTCTCCGTATGCGTTCATCAGCTTCGCATTGAATGAACGCTTTCCTTGCTGAAAATAGGGCATCCAAATGCGTTTTCAGAATTTCACTTGAAGTGGTGCCTTGTAGTGCTGGAAGTTTCTCTGACATAATGTTTGGCAAGTTTGGGTTTTTTCCAAGGACAAGCTGATAACTGCTAAAACCATTCCACATCTGCAATGAATTTTTTGCTACATTTGCCCATGCCAGGAGAGTATTTTCATCTGTCTTAGGATTCTCTTCTGTTAAGATTTCCAGCATTCGATCAGTAATTTGGTGATTTCTTTCGCATAGACCATTGCTCCATGGGCTTTCAGCAGGAGTAGAGGAAAGCTGGATATTGAGAATACTAGCCACCTCACGCATTTCAGAATTATTGAATTCTCCACCATTATCAAAAAAAATTCCTTCCATGACACCCCATCCTGCTCCAATCCAATGCTGGATGATTTTCTCAACAACAACAGGTGGGGATTTGCTGGTAATAAAAACTGACACACTCAGTCTTGTGAACATATCTATCATGTGAAGGATACACTTTCCTTTCCAGCTCTTCAGATCAATGGCTATTTTTTCATTGAATCTACTTGCCATTGGCATACTGACCACTGGTCTTGCTGGTGTCTTTTTATACATCTTGCATGTCTGACAGCCATCATAAATCTCACAAAGTTCTTCATTGTATTGATCTTTCCACACTCCAGCATCAGCCATTAATGCTTTTAGTCTGGGCATAGATGGATGAGCAAATTGTTTGTGCAGCTTCTGCAAAATTTTCTTTCTTTCTTCTGGCATAACATCACTCAGAACCACATTGCAAACTTCCTGTACCCTTATCTCATCAGTTTTTCCAATAGGAATGCAATAATGACCACTTGAAGTAAAGTTTAATGGTACTTCGGTCCCAAAAAACTCTGCTGTATCTTTTTCTATGTTCAATTTTGCATTGGCCTTTTTTAGAGATTTTAGACTCAACAAAAGAGGGATGGCAGACATAACAACATCCACTTCAATGACAACATCTTTGCCAGCAATATTACAAGGTAATTCACAAAACAAGAGAGACTGTAGAACTTCACCACCACCAAATTTGAATACCTTTTGACCCTTGGTCTGCTGTATTTTCATCAGCTCACCATCTGGTAAAGTGCTTAGGTAACATTGAAACCATTTTTGCCCACAAACGGTAGAAGTACAAGCTGTGTCAAGTACAGCACAATTTATTGCTTCTTCACCAAGAACTTGCACTGCATCTTTGTTGTAACCAGTAAATAAGACAACTTTCTCTGCAGGGTCTGAAAGAACTTGTTGGGCCATCTTTGCATTTTCATAAGAATAGGGGCAAGATGCAACTAGATGGCGGTAAGAACCACAAGCATGGCAGGTTAAAAGTGAACCATCAGGGCCCTTTTGATTGATTGGCCTTACAGAAGCACCACCTGTACTCACTGGAATCCGAGCCATCTTGCGACTTTTGTCACTGGGGAACATCCTTGAGCCTCGACCCCTTGACCAAGGCCGCCCCCTGAATGTTTGAAAGTTTCCCATTGCCAAAACATTTTCTGGAGCAGCAACAAAGGCAGGTTCCAATTTTATTGCAGCCGAACCTGAATCATCACAAGAAGCCAAATCTCCCTTAAATTTCTTTAAAGATTTCTTAGCCTGCTCAAACAAGTTGTCCTTTTTGTCAAAATTTATCCCAGACAAAATCAACAATTTTTCAGGCTTACTTATATTTGCACTACTTAGAAGCTCAAAACAAATAATTTCTTGCGGTAACTTAATCCCCTTTTTTAGGATACGGTTATATTTCTGTTCAAAATCAAGAATAAAGTCACTTATCTTCTGGTCAGCAACTCTGGTACAATTTTTAAACTCCTCATACTTTTCTAGGCTATCCTCCATATCATCTTTACCGAGCGTTTTTTCCATGAAGTTGAGCAAAGTGCTTAAGCCATCTTCCTTTTTCAAATCATCGAGTGGAACACTTTCCATCACCTGCGCCCGTACTGACTCATTTTCAGGAAGAGAAAGAGCAACAGCAATACCCATTTTCTTTTTCTCCAGATCCGTTATTTCACTCCACATTTGAACTTCCACTTCCCATCGCTCAAACGTTTTTTCACTGCTGTTGAACACAGGTGGATTTAATTTCATGGCGGCCATGATAGCTGACGGTGCGTGATTTAGGCCTAGGGCCTGACCGGCTCCGTAACGTAAAATAGGGAAGGAAGTAAATATAGTCCAGTACAAACGACACAAAAATCAGGCAAAATGGCACAAAAACACTGATATAACGCTCCTTAGAACTTTTTTTCCTCTGCTACCACTGTTAAACTTGAATCTCTGTACATATACGCAACGCACGTGCTTCGCTAGTCTTCACTACTCTCAACACTAACAACAACAACAACATAACAGGCAGGATTATGGAGATTTGTCTGAGGAGATTATGAAGGTGAATGAAGTGAAATGTGTTGCAGCCTTGTCACAACTAATTTCCCTTCTGGGTACAAAATGTCGACAAGAAAATTGCAGTGAAAGTTTCAAGGAAATATGGAATTTTGTAATACAGTACTGCATTAAGCTTGAATGCATTTGTAAAAAAGGCCACAAATGGGTATTCGAGTCCCTTTTATGCTGCAGTCTTTTATCTGGTGGTGAAATCACACAGTTCAAGAGATTTTGTAACTTCAGCGGTATAGGTGGTGCTCTTTGATAAAAAGCATTGACGGCATGGATGGTTTTAAGGTCAGCAGCTTGACCTTTTGTGTGAAAAGAATTTTACGTCAGCTGAAACCCGAACCATTGGCGACTTGTTGCTGGTGCTGTACCCTGTTTGAATCTTGTTGCTGGTACTGTCCTTTCAACAGGAGGCAAATGCAAAGCAGGAAAACCTCCATCAGCTCGTTTTGAAATATTCCCCAGCTCATCTCAGGATACATCTTCACAGTTTTCAAGCTTTGGTGGTGTAATTGATGCTGAACTTGGCTCTCTGTTCGAAGATCTTTCGACATCAACTGTATCAATATCAACACAAACTGATTTCTCTTTTGTTAATTCCCCAACATACCTTCCAATTGATTTTGAAAAGATGGAAAATGATATAATGGATTCATTCATCAAAAGTGACACTCTGCAATCTCAAAGTCAAGAGCTCGCAGCCAAAGTAATTGAATTAGAAAATCAAGTGGAACAGCTAGAGTTGCAGCTCGAGTTAAACTGTCTCTTTTTCCATTGAAAAGTTAAAGTCAGATAGTTCTGCAACAAAGTTTTACACTGGTTTTCCAAACTTTCCAACACTGATGTCAACATTTGAGTACTTTGAGCCTAAAGTCCTGCAAATGCAATATTGGCGTGGTAACAAGTCTTCACAAAGCTATGACGATCATCACAGCAAGTGTTCACGTGGCCCAAGCGCTCTCTCACTCATCTGGAAGAATTCATTCTTGTTCTGATGAGTCTAAAAGTTGGTTTGTTTTTTGATGATTTAGCTGCTCGTTTTGGAATTTTTTTCCAGTCAGGTTTCAAAAATCTTTACAACATGGATTTGTTTTCTTTACCACGAACTCCCACTGCTTTTCAAACCCCCTTCTCAAGAGGTTGTTCGTCAAGGCATGCCTGCTCAATTTAAAGATTTCCCAACAACGAGATTAATAATTGATTGCACAGAAATATTTGCAGAGGTTCAATCATCTATGAAAGCACATTCACAGACATGGTCCGAATACAAGCATCATAATACATGGAAAGTTTTAATTGGCATATCACCCTCTGGCCTCATTACCTTTACCTCAAAGTTATGGTCTGGTAAGGTCTCTGATAAAGAAATCACTCTTAAGTCAGGTGTTCTAGCACTTCTTGAGGATGGTGGTAACCTAATGGCTGACCGTGGCTTTGATGTCAAAGATATTCTTCCTCCTGGAGTGACTCTAAACATCCCACCTTTCAAGGGTACATGAGCACAACTGACAGCGAATGAGACAGAAGAAACTGCTCGCATTGCTTCTGTACCCTCTATATGTACAGTATACAATGATATAATGTAAAGATTAAACACACACCAATACTTTTAAGCATACACAACGTTACATCTATGTATGTATAGTATACAGTGATATTATGTGAAGATTAAATACATACCAATTCTTTAGAGCATACACAATGTTTACTTGAATACATATTTAACTTATAAAAACTTCTTAAAAGGCTTAAAGAAATTATTTTATTTATTATTATTATTATGTTTAGCCAACGATACTGAACATTATTACAAACAGGATTTATTTTGTGTGTGTATATCTTAATAATAACAAGAAATTATTTGAATTTATCAAAGTTTTTCCAATTTCCATGTAAATATAATTTGAATTCACGTTTCACTCGCTTAGTGAAAAATTCAGGAATAATTTCTCTCCATTAAAATAAGTGAAGCTAGGGTGGCATGTACGATAAAACAAATTCTTCATCATATTGTATTGACTCCACAAACAATGATTCACTACCAGCAAACCAAACAACAAAATCAATACGTTTAAAAACAGCACAAAACATTTGGCCTTGAACTTGATAATAGTATTGATGTTTGCGCTTGATAGTGCCGCCATTATTCTCCAAGAAGAACTTCTTATCTTTGAGTGCATCCTGAAGAGAGATTTTGAACTTGGAGAATGGACATTTTATTTCCAAACCCCATCTTTCATTGTTAAAAGAAACCATGCCATCCAAAAATGCAGCAAGAAAAGAAGAAGAAGAAGATAATTGGAGGCCAGTTTCAGAAACAATGACATTCAGGCCATGCTCTTTCATGTAGATTGTGTAGAGCTCAATGGCATGTCCTTCAAATTTCTTGCCATGGTTGGTTGCTAAGGTTGAGAAACACTTGAAAAACATATCCAATTGCTGTTGGAGGATTGACCAAGGGTCACCTTCTCAATGTCAGAAATTTTTTTCAGCAGACAAAGATAGGCTATGACAATAAATGTTCATCATATCTTTAGAAGATTGTTTGGAGATATCGTAACACTCATTGAAAGAGACTGCTTTGGCTAAAGATGGATCTTGAGTATCAGTTCCACTGGTGAAAGCACTGTCACTTGAAGAAGGAAGATCAGATTCTGAAGCTGGATAAAAACCTAAAGAATCCGCTATTTGGCATGAATTTTGTTAATTTTGATTTTAAAATTTCAAGATCTTTAATGGTCACGGTTCTATGGCTGGTAATGCGAGGGTCAAATGATTTTGGAACATCATAACCATCATAATTCCTTCCAAACTTAATCTTCTTCATTACAACTCCATCAATTGGATTAAAAGCTGGATTAAAAGACAGAAGGGCAGAAGCATTTGGCACATTCCATGAGGTTAATTTTGATGTGCAGAAAAACCGCTGATTCAAATCCTTGAAGACCACGCCGGTTAAAATCTTCCAGGGCAAAGAGAACTCCACCAACATGGTTGCAGCTTCCAAACCCACCAAGACCAATGCCAGCAGGACAAGAACAGGCAGCAGAGCAAACATCACCAGAAAGATTTGAAAGCTTTTAAATTACTTTATAGAGAACCTTCTTCATAGATGCCTTGACACGAACATTTAAGAAAGTAAACTCCTTTTTCTTAGCTACATCAATCTTAGTGATAAAGCCTTCAAAGAAAAACTGAATTGCTTTCAGTTTCTTGTAGGCAGTACTCTTAAGAAGGATGTGCTTGAATTTTGATGTTCGAATAACCAAATATCCATAGAGCTGCAGAAAAGTGAAATGGGGTGTTCCACATAAGTCAGCTGTCCAAGGAAGATGCTTGCACTGATCATAAATAGCCTCAAATGTGAAATCATTTTCGTGACAAAGTAAGGAGGACTCATCTGAAATGTCATTGGATTGAGAATTGAAATTCTTTGCATGAGAAAAGACAGCATGTGCACGAAGAATAAGGTCGGCTTTGACACCGGAAGTTTTCTCCCTGTATTGTACAAGAATATGCTTCAATTCTTTATAAGTCAGTGCGCCAAGATCTTCTAAACAATCAACTTTCTTTTCCTTTGGCAGCAACAATTTGAATGCATCCATTTCAATGAAAAATCAGGCGTAAAAAATTCTTAAATGTAGAAATATATAATCGACTCTGTAGATGTCCAAAGAGGCCCAAACGTTTGCACAGCCGACTACATCAGTTGCCTCTACTCCAAGCGCTCCTCTCTCTTTCAAACACCGCGTGACGTAATTGTGAAGGGGGTCCTTTGGGCTTATACAGCACTTGGGGTGAAATCAAAAAAAGGGTGCCTCAAGGCTCAATCCTAGCTCCACTGATATCTGTAATTTTGTCGATGATTCCTCCCTTTATGCAACACATGTCAATTTGCAAAACATTTAAAAAAAGAAACTAAAAAAGATGCAATCAACATCATCAAATGGTTTTCAGATAATAAAATGAAGCTAAATAAGAATAAAAATAATACATATCGATGATGCTGGGTGCTATATGTAGCCTTCTTGCAATAAATTTTCAAAAAATGTGCATTATCCTCAAAAAGATGCGAATTTATTTAATTTCGCGGATTTTTTTGTGTTATATGCGGATTTTGTATTCATATTGATGATGCAGAGTGCTATATGTAGCCTTCTTGCAATAAATTTTCAAAAAATGTGCATTATCCTCAGAAAGATGCGAATTTCAAAGTCATTATAAATTAACAATAAAACAAAGACTAGTTTTTCATAATTTTATCATAAAACAAAGAACAGTTTTTCATAATACAGCTTCATGGTTGAGACCAGCTCATAAGAATCTACAAACAGATTCAAGCGAAAAAAAATAATGAACGCTTGTCTTTGGCTTGTCTCTCGTTTTTCAGCAGCTATTTTATGCAATGATGGTTAGAGTGTTCGCAAAGGTGCATGGTAGTCTCTGGCTGACATCAAAACCATTTGTTTGTGTGTTTTTTTATTGCAAACTATCTAGGACTGCAGGACCAAAAAAGGTGATTACATAAATAAGCTCAGGGTTAGAGGCTCAATTTCATAGTCAAAAGTCATTGGACATTGACAGATGGAAAACAAAGTCACAAGGCATTTTATGATGTGATGGGGATAAAGTGTAACCATGTCTTTTGATTGCCTCTCTTTGAAATACTGAATGGCTTCCTGCTTTCTTTTGCGATTTGGAAATTGATCCAAAAGTGAGCCTAGATTCTTTCTTTCATATTTATTGCTGATGGTTGCTAGGTCGGTCTTGGCTTCAAACAGCAGCACATCTTTATCCTGTTAAAAACCAAAAACATTTTATGGTATTTTGAAAAACTATTCAAATTAAATTGAATAATGTGTAAAATGTATACCACACCATAACAGGTATCTTTCTCACAATTTCTTCACCTAGTTTGTATTTGGGATAAGAAACTTTGAAGTATTCGTCTCCTGTGTTTGACATCATCTGTTTTTTTTAAGGTTTCCACTAAAATGCAGTGTTGCCAATGCATGTCAAGAAAAAATGATATTTGAAATTTGCACCTCTAATCTCTATTTAAATATTCTTGTTGACTCCCCTTATGATAATGTAATTGAGGGCAACATGTATTTTGGATAATTGAATAAAAAGTCAAAATTACATTTATATATGGAAAACATGCTCAATTTTTCACATTATTTTTTCACATCATACCATTCCATTACATTCCAGCTTTGCTCTTTGCAAGAATCTCAGTGCAAACTTTAACCTTACATCCGTTCCCATCCAGGAGAAATGCAGCATTTTTGGGTGCCATTGATTTAGAGTTGAATGAAAACTCTCAAGACAACTGGTTTGGTCACTGTATGATAGCATCTTAACTGCACCGCAAAGTTTTGGATCAGATACAATTGCCTTGAGTTTATCAAATAGCACTGTACCTGTAAAGTATATATGGAAAAGTGAGAAAAAAACTACCTGTTTTCCACAAACTAGCGTTATTGAAACAGAATATCAAAAAAAGGAATGATGTATAATTACCTATTTTGATCCATTTTCTTCTTTCAGTAATTGGTTCATGGACACAATTTTAAAATAGGGGGACCCCCTCCCCTCCCCCCAACAAGGGATACCTCCTCCCGGAAAGAAGAAACAATTTTATACTCTTCCTGTAACCTTTTTGCAACAATTGTAACTTATTAACATTGACATGTAGTAGTTGAACTTTCAAAGTATGGCATTTAAGTATGAACTTTGAAACAGAAACACATAAAAGCAGCAAATAAAAGTGTTTATCTTTTGACCACACCCTTACTGCATGAGACGCACCCTTTTTGTTGGCAAAAACTACTTATTTACCCCTGTAAAAAATTTTGGCTCCACCCCGGAGGAAATCTATAAAATTTGATGAATGTTTTATTTGCACACATGTATTTTGTAGAGCTTCAAATTGGAAGGGCTTGACTTTTTTATTTGACACACAGAATATATTTTATGCAACAACAATCCATCTACTCAGGCAAAAACATGTAAAGAATATGGCTGCTTGTTTCCAAATCTGAGAGAAAAGCTTATTAAAAACTAGATGCTAATTGGGGGAGGGGGGTTTCTTGAGAGGGGAGCTTAAACAAATGCTAATTGTTCTGCTGCTCATCAAATTCACATTCAAAAAGAATTTGTTGTATTTTAATTTTTGCTTTTCTGTTCTGCTTGTCTGGGAGCTTCTTCAAAATTGGTATAATACTTTCCGCAAAGCTAACGTCTGCATCAAACACCTTTAACTTTGGTACACCATCATCCTACAGGGCTTCAATTAATAGAAGGTTTTTCCAACTGAGTCGATAGAAGGTTTTTCCAACTTCCTTTTTCCGGTGTTTGATTTGGGTCTACTACCTCCTACTGGGGTGGGTGTAATGCTGGCAGGACTCTCAGGAAGAATCATATCAGAGGAATCTTCAATATTGAGGTTGCTGGTAGTTGGCCTGTTTGTGACAGAATCTTTTATAAAAGTCATCTGATCAAACATTTTACATTTCGGTAGTTTTCCGGCTGCAGCCCCAGAACGTGTCATCAGTTCCCTTTTTTTGATGCACTTTCTTTAAGGTGTCCTCTGGAAAATCAGAATTCCAAATTCATCAGAATTCGAAAATGCAAATTCATAGAACTCAATATCGACGTTTTCGATCTTTTAGTGACAAAAATCTAGTTGAAATGTGTTACTTAACAATTTTTTTTAAAATTACATTGATATAAATATTTGTATACCACATCATACATACAGAAAAAGCTCTATTAAGCCCCTCTTATCAAGCAAAAATTTTAAATAAGCCCCCCTCTCTTTTAAGCCTCCACTTTAGAACTAAGAAGTAAATGAGCTCCCCTGACTTTGAGCTTTTACGGTATATTTACATATGGTATACCATGCTGCAAAGTATGTTTTGTCAAGTTATTGTTAAAAATCAACGTTAATGAGCAAGAAATACACATTGAAAACGAAATACAAACGATGACAAAGAAACAGAGCCAAAAGGCTGTAAAAATTTATGAAATGCACGAGGAAGTACGATATTACATTGTGTAGAGTAGGCCTAAACACGTCATGAAAATTGAAGGAAAAAATCAAACAAAAGTTACCCTCTTTTTCAAATTTCTGACTCAGTTCCTGCCAAGATTGCTGCTTTTTAGGGCCATCTTTATAAGATCGGCATGAAGTATCCCATAAACAACGATATTGTTTAAGTTCCTCAATAAATAATTCTTCAGACCATTCCGTCTGGGATTCCGTCTCTTCCTCGACAATTGTATCGCCCGTGCTTTCATTTTCAAACGCAAGATAATTTGAATTTACTGTAGGGGATTGACTTTGCTGAAACTGGCGTAAAATCGACATGACTTCTGGCCTTATTGTTATTTTTTCCATCCTTTGAACAAGATTTTCTCAGCATAGAAGAGCGTGGAGTTGATTTTTCGGATAAGCGCCAAAGAAAACAAGACAGGGTGATGAGGCATTTTATGTAAACCAGACAAGAAAACAAAGCATCTAATTGGTTTGTGAGAATCTGGTCGCAGAAAAGTTAAAATCTATTCAACTCCCAAAAGCAGTCGCGCGATCGCCAGTGCAAAGGGGAATCACTGCCATTGGGGTAAATGCGCATGCCCAGAACAACAGTCGTGCCAGATTCACCGAAGTGGAAACCCGCCTTTAGATCTTTCAAGCTGTTTTCGGAACAGAATTTCATCAAAACCTGTCTTGTTGTGGCCTCCTCGATAAAAACTCTTTTCTTCAAGCTGGTAAAAAATTATAGGCACAGAGATTAGATAAGGTCAATCAGTGACTGTTAACAGCTATAACCAGCACCAAAATTTAACTGCTGACATGAAACTTCACATTTTCAAACCTTTTTCACTGTATGAATACCCAAACCATTGGATGTACTAAAATGATATCCACAAACCTAAAAGGCCATGCCATCATTCCTTCATCTTAATTATTTTAACATTTATCAAACTTATAAAAACTATGTAATGTTCTTATCAGCCTTTCAATATTGGCAATGTTGACATCTCATCTTCTATATCAACCTTTCGTGCATACACATTGGAAACTCAGGAAAGTTGCATCGCAAAGGATGATACGTGGAAATCCACCACATCTGGTACAAAAGAAATTGTCTTAGACGTCAACTTGAAGCAGCTTGAAAAATGAATACCATGCCACTCTCCACTGATGGTAAGTAAGGCAATGTTCTATTATATAGCCAGCTGCTGCGAGGTTCATTTCAATACAATTAGGTAATTCAAAAGTGATTGGCTAAGAGAAAGGAAAGATAAAGTTCTACAAAACTCACAAATATCCTTAAATAAGTACCACAGAAAAATTGTCATTTTATAGTTGTAAACGCTATATTCAAAAAGCTATCTAAAGAAGGTACCTGTTTCCTGATACGAAGTGGTGCAAGTAGTTCATGAGAACATCATGACCAGTTAGAAAACTTCCCATATTCCATACCCCCTTCAGTCAATCATCATACAATTTTGTGTGCTGATGCATGTCCTTGTTACATTTGAGATATGGAACTAGCAAAGCAGATTATTGGAAACCAAAGAAGATAACTGGACACAACAACATAGGAAAAAGGAAAATTGAAAACTTTGTCTGGATTTAGACAAACAGAAGAATTTCACAATGCATCAGTTAAGCAAATATTAATAGAATTTTTCTAATTTGACAAAAGTGTATAACAACAGTTCAGTTAGCATTTGGATCCATGTAAAACATTTTTAGCTTCCACTTGTTAATTTAAAATGAGTTAATTTAACAAAGACTATCCATCGTTCAAGAGCACAATATTCTTAGTTAATGCAGTCCTTACCATAAACATCAATGATCTTATTCTGCATTAAAGTCTCTTCTTATCCTTTTCTCAAAAAACACCACATGTTTCGCCACAAGCATTCTGTCCAACATCAGTAAAATCAGGAACCAATTGAAAGATGTTTTCGTCTGTAAGCTGAACATTAGAACAAAGCAATCCATTGAATACGGTTCTTTTGAATGGTAATGTCTCCATGGGAATTATTCTCTCTGAAACTGCTTTTCGTACATAATTTTTTAAAAAGGAAGTTTTCAAATTTTCACATGTCTGTAGAAAATCAATTAGAAAATTCAGGGATAGTAGCTTTTTCTATGGTAAGTGTGACATTAAAACAGGTCACATGTTTACAAGAACGCTGGTTATTCGAATCGAGACACTTAAAACCACCCATGTCCATTCCAACAACTCCATACCCACCATCTGTTGATCGCACATAAACAAGAGACTCCCTAGTCAATGACAGTTCAACAAAGGCTGGAAGTTTCCAGACAGTCTTTTATAGACAGCCAGATTGCTTGTCTTTCTATAAGAACATTGTTTATAATAGGAAAACAAGGGGCTCGAAAGTCAACAAAAGTCTGACTTTTTTAAAAAATTTTCATGTTCATTATGCTTTGTTGCTGGTGGTTGGAAACAAATGTGACTTTATGTGAGTTCTTTGCAAAGTTTCAATGAATGGAAACAGTTACTTCAGAATAATTTTAAAATATCTTAAGGCCTAAAATGTAAGTCTTTTTAGAATATTGAATCCCAACAAAATACAAGGTATTATTATAAAAATTTGTATAAAATGATTTTCTTATCTTGTAGAAACAACACTTCAGTCTTGCATTAATTGTCATTCGTATTTTTAAAATTAGATTTATATCACAGACTTTGTAGCTAATAAACTTCTAAATCATCTTCACTATACTGAAGATCAAAGAGCAGTTGGCTTATTTTAATCTTAGCAAGGCGTTTCTGTTTTTTTGTATCAAACTTCGACAGTACAGAGAGTCTTCATCTTCACTGATAGATTTTTAGAGTGGTTCGTCACAGTCGACCAGTGACTTACTCCATCTGATTCGCTCAAGGCAGTGCATGCCTTCAAGTGTGACGTTATTTTTCTATTTATCTTCTTCGACAAAGTTGCAGTAGCGGAACAGCTACTTGCGACACTGCCGCTAGGACTTGGCATGGAGAACTGGAGCTCTTCTGCCTGTACAACAAATCCAGCTTCCATTGGGGAAAGGTTGCTCTCCATAAGTTTATTTGCACTTTTTTCATGCAAGAATGCAATTTGCTCAAAAAATTTACATTTTGGCAACGTTGCAGCTGCAGCACCAGACTGGGTCATGTGATTTCGCTTGTCCAAACATTTTTCAAAGTATCTTCCAGATTCTTTAATTGTTTCTAAAGAAAGTCAACTGAAAAAATGGAGCAATCTGCATTTACTCTAGGCGTTCTAAAATTTTCTAGACAAAGACACTGTTCGCAGTACACTTTTTGCAGTCTGTTTGTAGTATCTAGTTCTTTGAAAGACTAAAACTTACTATTTTTGTTGAACATAGCTGATAGCTTTTTCCACGAATTTTACTTTGCTGTTCTGTCTTAATACATTGGATGATTCACATCCCAATGACATTGCAACTCTTTAATGGCTTTAATGAATGCTTCTCTTTCCCACTCTACACTGTCAGTTATCTCATCCTATATAAAAAGATATAAATATAAAAGATATAAAAAATACCCCATAATTAGTTTCATCATCAGAACTCCCATCAGAAAGTTAGATCATTTCTATCATAACATCAATTTTCTGCAAGCCCTGAATTCAAGACAAAATACAAAAAAGAGATTCTCCGATTTTAGGGGGCTCTGCAGCTTTATATCTATAAGAAAATACTGATCAATTATTTCTATGTTTTTAGATAGGGGTGCATTGTAAAAAATAAAGCAAACAAATAAGCTCACCGTGTTTTCTTCATCTTCACCATCTCCATCGACCAAATCAGGAGTCTGTGATGACTGAAGCTGTTGCTGTTGAGAAGCCAAATAAACAGCCAACATTTCAGGGTTTTGAAGAATTTCTGAGAGGTCGTTTATTTCAGACATATTGATAGAACCCTAAAACTTAATAGAGCCTGCCGTCATCAATTTGAATTTTGAATGTTGTATAATGATCCGATCATCTAAATCTTAAATAGGGTGTTTGTGTAGGTAGGGGAGTGTTTGAGGAAAGAATGGGGAACAATGGAGAGAGAAAAGAGGTAGGCCATCAGAAATAAAAAACAACAGTTAGCTGTTAAGATTTTTCCTTTTTGCATGTAATTAGCTGTGGCATAGTTCTTGTTTGTACGTTATAAGCCCCCCGACATAAAAAAAATCACTGGTTCTGATATAAAGCGGAATCCAATTTCGCTGGAAGTTAGTGACCGATGCTGTTTATTTGCTCAAGCTGTTTGTTGATCCCAAGACGACCACTACACGAACAACACGAAAAGCACCTAAAGATCGCACTTCATCTGTTTATTCTCAACATTCCTCTTTAACTGCTCCTGATACCTGTTCTTTTCCTGATTTCGATGAAGATGAAGATGTTCAAATTTTATACTTGGTTTCCAAATTTTACTTCTCTGGAATTTGTTTTTGATTATTTAGCACAAAAGTTGGATAATATTTCTTATTGGCGGGGATCCAAGTCACATGATGTATCTAAAGACAAACCGGACAGGCCAGATGAACATGGGAAATCTGGTCCCAAACGCAAGTTATCTTACTTTGAAGAATTTGTCTTGGTTTTAATGCGTCTGAAAGTTGGTTTATTTGTAAATGATTGTGCATATAGATTTGGTATCTCAAGTGGACATGTTTCAAAGATTTTTACTACTTGGATCAACTTCTTGTTTCATGAATTGCCTTCTCTCTTTCCCTTCCCGTCTCAAGAACAAATCCAAAAGTTAATGCCAGAAGAATTTTAAACTGTACCCATCCACACGAATAATCATTGATTGTACAGAAATTTTTACAGAAGTCCCTTCATCTATGAAAGCTCAGTCACAAACTTGGTCCGAGTATAAACATCACAACACCTGGAAAGCCCTTGTTGGAAATCTCCTACTGGGGCAATCACATTTGTATCTAAACTGTGGACAGGCCGTGTATCTGATTTATATCTGTATCTGATTTATATATGATGATAATCTGTATTATATTGTAAGTGAAAATATGATTAATAATTGTAACACAGTTGCCTACACTTTCATATTTGTATTACAGGAAAGACTAATAAAATATAGTTCTTTAATTCTAACAGGGTTGCTTATACAATAACTCTTTCATATTTGTATTACACGAACAACTAATAAAAAATAGTTCTTTAATTGTAACACAGTTGCTTAAACAACAACTCTTTCGTATTTGTATTACACGAATACTGATAAAAAATAGTTCTTTAATTGTAATACAGTTGCTTACACAATAACTTTTCATATTTGTATAAAACGAAAGACTGATTTAAAAATAGTTCCTTAATTGTAACACTGTTGCTTACACAATAACTCTTTCATATTTGTATTAAACGAAAGACTGATAAAAAGATCACCATCTGCCATGCTTAATTTGTGACTTTTGAATTTGTTTATATGGTATTTGCTCGTCCATTATATTGTAAATATAAATTAATAGGATTGAAATTTAAAAAAATTGTATATATAGACATAATGGAATTTGCCAAATGACAAGACTTTGATTATTACAGTAGCATTTCTACTGTAGATACTAACCATTCTAAACAGAGTCTTTCCTTTATTATTTGAAATTCCAATTTTCAAAACAATTAAATATATTTCTAATTTCAAAGAAAGTTTCTCCCAGCCACCATGAGAATACAATTTTAGACCTCTTTTTGCATGCTTTGCGAAAAATTCTAGCAATACAGCTCTGCGATAGAAGAAGTTAAACTGAGAAAGAATGGAGTTTTGAAAAAGATGTTCATCATACATAATGGATTGAAGGAACAAGGGTTGGTTATCTCCAAACCACACCACCATATCAACTTTTCTTAATCCAAAGCAAAACATTTCATCTTGAATTTGGTAATAGGCATGAGTCTTTTTTAGCTCTACCACATCTGTCTTTCTTAAAAAAAACTGCTTATCTTCTACAGCGTCAATTAGAGAAGATTAAAATTCTGAATAAGGACACTTAATTTCAAGTCCCCGAGAATCTTGACCATGCTTTACAATACCCTCTAGGGATTCACCAAGACAAAAATGAGTACTGGTTACAATAAGGCCAGGTTCATCAACAAAAATTTTATTGAAACCATTGCATAGCAAAGTCTCCAAATATAAAGAAGAAGCATGGGACTCGTAAGCCTTTCCATGTCATGTGCTAACAGAAGAGAAAAATGAACAAAACATTGACTTTAACTTAGACGATGGTTCAACAGTAGTGACCTCAGCAGGGTAAGAATAGACCTTTCCCCTTGTTATGTCATGCACTCCTGAGTCCCCGGCCGTCTGTTTACGTTTTATATGGTGATGAAGACACATTGTATTTTGCTGCTCAAAAATTGTTAAAAATCACAGAAAATCCAGCGAATTCTGATGGCCAGCAGTTGCTTAGTTATTTTCAAAACTCTAGTCCAGGGATCAGTGCCAAGGAAGCTTTGGCAACAGAAGAACTTAACAAGAACAGAATTGTTATAGGTGCATTCGGGTCTACAAATGGCGATGGCTATTCCGAAATAGTAGATACAGTGGGTGTGAATGAGACTGCAGTTGGTTAAGGTCCTTGACACTACTTCCAAGTTTAGACGATCGTTTAATTAATAGCCCTTTAACATCAACAGAGAATGGAGCAGCGCCCAAGGCATTTAGGAACAAAAAGAAGGATACAAACTATGGAAGGAGGGATATGTGAGTGCTGTACTTGTTATACCTAACATCAACGGGAAACGTATGTTATTCCTTGTGAAGGCAAAAGTATTTTCATCAATGAAGAGTGCCCAGTACATTGTATATGTTCATTTAGACCAAATCAATGGTGATGTGGTTCATGCTAAATGCGACTGTAAAGTTGGCCAAGGAGGGTGCTGCAAGCATGTCGTGCTTTACTTTATACTTTACTTGACTTTGTCAACATTGACATTAAAGAAATACCAAGTGATAAAACATGCACCACGGTTGGGCAGAAATGGCATATTCCTTCAGGTGCAAGAAATTTGTTATCCATATTGTTATCTATATCTATATAATGGATTGATAAATATATTGTTGTTTAATGGTATCTTGTTGTGTTAACGGTACTGTCAATCATTTAATTTCGTTGAGATTCATCTCCTTGGAAATTGATTATGTTTTTGCATTAGTTAGTGGTTTCCCTGTGAGCAGCCCTTTTCGCAAAGGTTTAAAGAAGGTTCATTTCCTAATAAACATCCATCGATCTATTATTGTTCCTTTCGCCATACTGTTTTTTGAAAGGGGTTGGCTCAGCCTCTTCATATTTCTTTTAATTGGTTTGTAACTTTTTACTGGTATTAAGGCTCGTGCTCTTAGAAAATTATTCTTATGAAAAAATAGTATAACTGCCTACTATTAGGTGCCTAATTGCCGTCCCCCCATCCGCTAATTAATTATTGAAAATTTGTCCAATTGATTTTGGCACTTTGTGTTAATTATTGTAGTGAAATATGCGTAACACAGGCTAAATATTGTCGATGATAAATAATAGCTATATAATAGTGAAATAAGTGTACTTACTTATTTTAAATGCATTTTGAGTGTTCAGTATATGTAACTCATAATTTAGACCCCTCCGGTAATTGGAACCCCCCCTCAAATAATTTTTGAACATAAAATCCGTCCCCTCCCATTTATTCTTACCCCCCAGCAGTTAGGCACCAAAGAGTAGCAATGGCTACTAAATAAAAAATAGATTTTTGGCATCCTGTAAACCTTTCTGATATCTACTAAACTTGACAATATGTACATTTTCCCCGTTTCATCTTCTTCCCCATGATAGGCAGCCAAAATGTTTTACATTACATTAAGTTACGTCTCAATAAAAGGAATGAGTATATAAATTTCTCTAAAGTTTGGTGATTTATCTTTAAGAAGGAATGTAAATTGTCATTTATCTTTAAGAAAATGGATACAGAAAAGAAAAACAAAAGAGTTGTGGAGGAGATGGATGTTTGATCTCATGTTTTATTATATCCTTAGTCTTGACTATGAACATCTTTGTTTTTTAATTATTCCACGGAGAGGCATGTTTCTCTTAGCAATGCTAGTGTGAATCTCACAACTTCTTAACTTTGCTTAAATTTCACTTTTTCCACCCCATTGCTTGGACATTTCACTTTAATGCAATCAATTAATAGTATATCAAAATTAATTATTCTAAATTGATATTTGGGTTTGAATTTTGTTTAAGACGGATTAGAATTGCACATTTTAAAGTCTTCATTTAGCGTAATATAGAACCTACCATACCAGCAACAGATGGCACAGTCAAGCGCCATTTTGCTATGATTTTTATTTCACTTTTCTCAATTGCCTAGCATGAAAAATAAAACAGTGATTTTAAGCATCTTTTTTTGATATTTTGATATTTAGTCAGTTTGACGACAATAATTTGACCCAACCAACCGTTACTCTCTACGTCTCAGAAATAATTATATATTTTTAAAATATTTTTTACAGTCTTTTGGTATGAATTTCCCTTATCTTCGAGAAGGCTGAAAACGGAGAAAGTTTTGAGGAGAAAGAGAAGGTATGATCGCAATCCTGTGTATTATTTTGCATGAAAAAAAATCAAATTGTTCATTTTGTTAATATCCTTCTTAGTCAGGCTAGAATGTACGTCAGTCGTAACTGGATTTACTGCTTGAGTTAATTTTAGGCTGGACTTTACTTTGTTTGCAATTTCACTTCTTATCACCATATTCTTTGAACATTACGCTCTGTTGCACTCAATGAATATTGCATCAAATGTGATCATTCTAATTTTCTCTTAGGGTTTAAGTTGTCTTCAAGACGATTTTAAATAGTAGATTTCAATATCTTCAGTGCTACTATACTAGCAAATTAAAAGATTGTAATTTTTTCATTCAACAGTTTTGATATTTAGTCAGTTTGACAACAATAATTTTACCCTATCAACCGTTACTCTCTACGGCTCAGAAATAATTGTATATTTTCAAAATATTTTTTATAGTCTTTTGGTATAAATTTTCCCTTACCTTCCAGGAGGTAGAAAACTGAGAATTCTCAGCGGGGGAAGAGAAGGTATGATCGCATTCCTTTTTATTATTTCA